TATTATTTTTCTTTCTTTACTAAGCATAAAGCTTTTTACAAGTTTACCTAAAGGAAACAATTCATAGGTCCACTTGGACAAATACAAATTTCAGCATCATTACTCTTGTCCTTCTAGATCAGTATAAGTCAAATAGGAATGATGGATGACAAGCACTCAGAGTTGAGATACTTGAACTGATTACCTAGACAAATATTAAATGACCATTGGGTAGATCCTACAACATAAGTATTCAAAGAAAAAGGAGGAATACCATATTTCAGTATACTCAGAATAATAAACAATGTAAAACTGTCAGGGACAGGTATGTGAAACACCGGCATAAGTCACCTCTTGAAATACATATATCCTTTATTAAATGTGCCTGCTTTGAGCCAGCCACTAGATGGTAGCCTAATACTTGGGTTCCAGCAACCCATTTCAGTAACTTGGGAACAGTCACTGCCTCTGAACTTCAGTCTGGCCTAACTCACTGTTTCTCTCTTCCTCTCTCTCTCCTAATTTCTTTTCTAACAATGAATAAATACTTAACAATGAATACACCAAATTACTTATTTTAGAATCATCCACTTAGTATTTGACCACTATCCACTTAGCAACAAATAAGGGAGGATTTTTGCAAAATAGAATGAACTACTGATCCTTGCGACTATTTCCATGAATTTCACTGAATTTCTGAACAAAAGAAATTGAAAACAAGATCATATGTAGAACTGCTTTCATATAATGTACCAACGAAGGAAAACTTAATCTGAAGTGACAAAAATACCAGAAAACTGCTGCTCTGTTGCAGAGTTGAGATTCATTTCCCACTTCCTGTCTCTGGCCAGCCATTCTGCTATTGTGGGTGTTTGGAGAGTGACCAAGAGGTGGAAATTCAGTCCATCTGTCTGGAACTTTCTTTGAATCATAAACATACAATGCCGATAGTGCAGTGTGGTAAGTCACTGCTTTGGACGCCTGTATTCCATATCCTATTGCTGATTAAATCCATGCTCCTCTGCTCCTGAGTGAGAATCATGTGTATGCATCTAGGAAAGCAGAACATAAGAGCTCATGTACTGTGGTCCCTGACACCCATGTGGGAGATCCAAATGGACTCTTGACTCCTGGTGTTGGACTGTGTAGCATATGAGAGAATCTGAGGTGTCAAAGAGCAGATGAAATTTTTCTCTCTGTGTGTTTCATTCTGCCTCGATCTCCCTCTCTCTGTTTCTCGGTGAACCTCGGTGAACCTTGGTGTTTGTACATGGGAATTGCACCACACTATCTTCCACTTATTTTTTATGTTTTATCTTGTTTAATCATCAATAGAATTGCAGGCACAGGTTAACTCTTTCATATTCTCCTTACCAGCTTGGATCTCTTTATGATCCCAAGGCGCTGTAAGCAACAAGAGCAATGTCCTTGGACTTGCAGTACTCCAGAAGTTTGCTCTGGTTCAGGTAAGCATGACATTCCACCTGTCACAAACATGTCAAGAGCAAATGATATTAGAATACATGAGCCAGCATCACAGGAAACATGTAAACTGCTTGAGGGAACTGTAACCTAAAAGCCAATTTCTCTGTTTATATTCCAACTCTACTTCTAATACCACATTAGTGTATGTATTACATAAGTAACTATGTTATTTTCCTATGAGCCATCTGATTATCTCCTATTCTCAGCAGGTGTCAAATGAATGCAACAAATTTATTCTTACTTTTTAGTTTTATTCATATAAATATTTTTTGTCTCCGTATCTGACTTTCCAATAAAATTGTATAAATATTTAAAAATAGATCTAATCACTGAAATTCAGTAGAATAAGTTTGATGATCCAAAGTTTGTTGTAGTCAGTATGCTTATGTACTGAGTTGATAAACAAAATCTAGCTGGAATACAGTGTTAACACTGGCAGAGCAAGTGCAGCCTGCTCTGCCACCAACCAGTTCTATTAATAAGGCTGCACCATTGTCTAAAATGATCTTATCTAAGAAACTCAGGAAATGTTGCAAAGTGGGGAATAACTTACTAGCTTCTTTAGGCACAGAGAAAATTCGAAATTTTTATTAGCATACACAGTTCAGCAGATTCTCCCAATGAAAGGAGTATGTTTCACTGAAAAAAAAAAATGCTGCCCATTTGGTATTCCTGTAGGAATAACACAGATTCTCAATGAGAAATGTCTGCACGCAGTGGTTAATTTCTTCACTTTTTGATATGCAAAAATGAACAATCCAATATTATAACAGGCAAATTTCCATATGAACCCATTCTCATAACATTTGTAGTGCAAGTTTCCTTAATAAAAAATATCCTCAGAAAAAATATCCTGATTCAGCCAGGAAACTCCAAATAAGTTATATAGTCAGACTCTGTTCCCAAACCTTTTGAATCGGGGAAAAGTACTGGTAAGTGTATCTCTGAGGTAGATGTATTTGTGCAAATTCACCAAAAGAAGTTGAATTAGTAATCTTGTAGGTGAGAGCTTTGTGGTTCTGAGCAAGCTTTCAGGAGTTGCTTGTGCTAATATTAGGGGCTATAAGTCTTTCTGTTGAATTACAGATAAACTGGACAAATGGAGCAATCTCTTGTTTTATGGCAATTTCATCTTAGATAATCCTAGGAAACTAATTTGTTCATATTATTTTCCTTGAAGGAGCTCTTTTCACACAAAATTTTGCTTAGAATGACACTCTGCAATATCTACAATAAAGTTAGTCACACAGCAAAAATTAGTCACACTGAGGACCGACTCGTCATAATTGTCACAAGCCGAGACAGGTTTGAGAGGGATCAGTCATCAATCTGTGAAAGCCCCCAAAGAGGCCAGTGTTTGAGAAACGCTACTAATATGTTAGTTCTCATTCCCACAAGACTTTCATGTGGGCATTAGGATAAACCTATCCAGCGTCTGCATTTCTAATTACTTCTTTTGCCAAATTTAATATAATTGTTGGATCCTCCAGTGGCCCACTGAGCTGTTTGGAAATGTATAAATGAAAAACTAATTAAAAATTTAAAATATATCCCATTATATCTATTTATCTCTCTCTATATATATACATGTGTGTGTGTGTGTGTACACATATGTATACACATATGTCATAATATGGCTTCCTATCTAATTTTCACAATGTGCTGAAATGTTCTCTGACACACAGGAGTGTGAAAAAATTTAGCTGAATGTTATTTCAAAAGGATTTAATCTAATCTTGCTGTCAATGACATACTTATTCAGAGTAAAGTAATACACAAAACTCTTGCTTCATCTGAGATGAGATCCTTAATGGGTCATAGCTCAATTTTGATTTGAGATGTGATCATTTTCTGTGTCCAGCCCATAAACTTCAACCTCCAGCAGTATGAAGTTCCCAAAAGATCTTTAGAGTATGATTCATCCTTTGGGTGGTTTCTGACATGAAGACTTGTGCATCAACAGCATTTTATCTGATGTAAGGGAGTACAAATCTAGAAATTCTGTCTTTGAACTAAAATCTTGGTCAGAGAGTCAGAGAATCTATAAACCTGTAGTTAGGAAGAGAGAGGAACCCTAAGCTTAAGAATGTGTCCTCTAGCAGCTGGAAAGAGAAACAGCAGATTCCACTTAAACTTCAATAAGAAACACAAACTTCCCCAAACCTTCATTTTGGAGGATTGAATCTGATATCCATGCCTGACATTTCTCTGTTTCTCTCTTAGCCCTGTCTTCATCACATCATCACCTTCAAGTGTCCTCATAACTATGTTTTTTACCAGAGCTTCCAGAATGCTGCTCTTTCTGCCATCACAAATTATACTTGCTTGACTGCATTTGTTTCTTCTGTGATATTTATAGTCTCTGATCTTGTTCATTCATTGAAAACATTCTCTGTCAAGAATTCCTCTTCTCCCACACTTTCTTGAATTCGCCATATTCAACCTCTTGGCCCCAGCATCATATCCAAAATGTTCTTGAGACAAGTCCAATTCCAACACAAATAATCATTTTCCATTCTCATATGACTTATGTTACTGACATGTGTCTGTTCTCTCAAAAAACATTTTTGTTTATTATCCATCAAGACAGAACTCTCCTCTTACATTGTACCATATGAGAGTTAGATTATTATTGTCTTTGCTCTTCTCCTTTCTCTATTTATAACCAATCATTTTGTTATGTAAAGAAAATGCTTGTTTCTCATTTATTCTTTATCTATTTTCACTCATTTTATCAATCCGTTGTGATTGGTTAATGTCCTGACTGAAGCAACCATTTTTTGCTAATGCCCAAAAACATATGTTTGCCATACACTGTTCTCGACCTATGAGTTTATATGCCCAGTGGATTCTTTGGCCTTCACACTTGAATGAATAACAGGAATCTCAAATACACCATGTCTAACATTCAATTTCATATCATCTGGACCACTCATATCTTTGTCTTGTCAGTACCCTGCATTCCTTCCAGTCAATGACTCAACTAAATATTTTTGGGCATCTTTGAAATATTTTCCCCAGATCACCATACATTCAATGTGTTGGCATGTTTTATTGACTACATCCTTAAAATAATTCCTTGTATCTCTATCTGGTCAATATCTTGGAAGTAGCTTCTTCTATGTTAGGCAGTCTTACCATCCATGTCAGACACCTGAATTGAGTTCCTGGCTCCCAGACATTTGGGGTGAACTAGCAGATGGGAGATCTCTGCCTATTTATATCTCCTTGCCTATGTCCCTCCTTTCACATGAAACAAATAATTTGTAAAGGAATTGAATAAATCAACATCATGCTGTGATTTCCCATGAGAGAAACATAACACTGGAATTTCTAAACAACATTGATATCTTGGAAAATACTTAATGTTAAGCAAACAGAATGTATAAAATCTGTAGTTGAAGATGTGCTGCATTTTATAAGTAAAATTACAAAACGAAATAATTTATAAAAATCATGAGGGAAAATTAAAAAAAACAAAAGTATTTTTAATGTGAGAATATAATTTATTTTTATCCTCTATAATTTCCTTTTTTATTCCAACACTTGCATATCATTTATTTTAATAATCAGGCAAGCTCATATTTAAAAATTCATTAGTGTATAATATGACAAGGCAATTACTGCTTTTCAGTCACATCTAACAGACACATCCTTTCTACAATGTCTAGGTTGAGAATAGTCTGGTATCAATGTCCCCATGCTTCATGGTCAGTATTCTTCCAAGAATGGATAATTGGGGTGATTACGAGCACTGGAAAAAATAGAGATAAGAATGAGTTAAATAAGTGTTTGTAAAAGAGAGAATACTACATTCATTGATTAACTCTGCATATTGAAACGGAGAATTCCTAAAAGATTCAGCTAAAATGTTCAAAAAGATAAATTCACACACATCCTCTGATTTCTATTGAAGCACTCATCCATCCCCCAACTCTCTGGGGATGTGCATGCCCAATTCCAAAACTCTGGCTATAAAATCAAGGCGGCATATAGATTGATTGACCTTTCCAGAAGCTACAAAAGATAGAATTGAAACATTATAGTCAGCTCAACCCCACCCACAGCTTTTGTGCTTAGATGATGAAAATGGTGGCAGAAACAGCTGGGTTTTTCTTTCCAGCACATTCGCTCAATCCTTAAGGAACGTTCTTTCCTTAAGGAACATTCACTCTATTGAGGAGGCAAAATTTAATTCTAAGACCTACAAAGCTGATTAGCCTTTTCTTATATATATTTCAAGGGAACAGATGGTAGTGTTAATTGTCTGCTTATCAATTAAAACAATTGTGTTTGTTGTCAGAATATCTGGGTTTAATGCCACTCCCTGGCTTGAGATCCAAACATCTTGCTAATGCAGACCCTCAGAAGGAGAGATGAGGGCTCAAGCAATTGGCCCCCTACCAAACATAAGAGCATTAGGATGGGATGGCAACTCCCAGTTCCAGACATTAAAGAAAAATGGAAAATCACTTCATAGATTTAAAAAATCTAAAGCTGTATCACAATCTAAAAACAAGTTTTAATAGACAAAGGAAAATGTTTGAAAAAAATGGTATGTATGAAATACATGTAATCTGTTCTCTTTATACAAATTAACAAACACTAAACCTAGGCAATATCAAAGCTTTTATTGCAAGTTGTTATAATAAAAAAAGATGGGCGGGTTCTTTTGAAATCCTTCCTTATAGATTGACTAGTTACTCTACCTATTTTCATTTTATTTATTCTAATCTATAAATTCCATTCTAAATATCTCTGATTAATTAGACTCTTTTTTACTAAATCTGAAACCATGAAGTAATTAAATGGAGTATTGTGTTTGCAGTAAATCAGGTGGGAAGGTATAGAATGCTTCCCTGAGACTGTTAGGCAGAAATGACATAATTTTAAAATTTAGAGAAATGCCAAAGGATCTTTATTTTTATAGAAAGACTAATTTATTTTAGTAATCTGGTCACAATACATCCTAATAAGATTAAATATCTCAGAAAAACATTAGTTGTGTTTGAGGAAAAGAAGGCCAAGGAAGATATTAGATTGGAAAAAATCAATGAAAAAGGAATTCCATAGGTTTGGAAAAGTGTCACTGAACTAACAGGGTAGGAAGAAAAATAAGACTCACTAGGAAGAAGTATTTGGGCTTCTTCCTCTCATTGAGTCTTATTTCTGCTTCCAATGTCATCAGAACAACAGTCAGGAACCCTGAAGGTCTTCAGAAACAGAAGAACACTAAACTTCCTATGAGACTAAGGAGAGGAGCTTTCTTTGGTCCTTACTTAGTTTCAACTTTTGCTCTCCACCCTCTTTTGCAAAGACCATCAGGGTCGCTCTGGAGTCCAAAAAATTAGATCAGATACACAGACCGAGAGAAATAAGGAAAGCTTAGAACAGACAGGAAATGGTCAGCGTGGACTCACACATATCTTACTAGGTAGGACACAAAGATCAGTTACTCCTCTGTAAGGTATTGAAGGTTTCTCTGCACACCCCTCTGTTGGGGGGCACTAACCATTTCCTGCCCTGTGATTGGCCCTTTGCCCTGAGTGGTGTGCCTTGGTTATCTTTAAGTTGATTGGTCAGGTTTGACAGATAAGCAGGGGGCTTGGCGGGGGAGGGGCTGGAGCGTAAGGGTCATAACGGTCATAACGGTGATAACGGTCACAACGGAAGATCGGAATAAAGTGCCGGGGAGACTCTCTCAAGTGTCGGGTGATTTCTTCCGCGGGATGGGAGGACCCCTGATACCCCTCCTAAAATTGTTCTGCTCCTCAGCCATTAATATATGGCTTGTTAGAGTTATAAGCTTGTTTAGACCATCCTAAGATTCACAAAGTTCAGTAAAAATCAAGCTTGAATTCTACAAGCTGCTAAATATAAAAATGAAAATAGCCACGAGACAGCTGAATAGCACCCTATGAACATTTTTAGGTTTATGGCAGCCAGTTGTGTATATACTAAAATTGAGATGTGAAGGAAATAGTTACAGGATCTGGTTAAGAACTTGCATTTTCTAACATATTAGTCACTCAATATCATGTTAATTAACATCATGAGGCTGCTAATTTCCATGTTTCTTTCTGTTGTTGAAGTTGTATAGTGGTATCTCATTGGTAGGGATATTATCCTGCCAGCTCTACATTTGGATCAAGTATGCTGCCCAATGAAACTGTTGAATTTATCTGGCCAATAAGAGGCTGGATTTTCCTCGTGGTCCATGCCTGCAATGAAGGAATCATGACTGGTTATGATCTACACTACTGTAAAAATACAGAGGAATTTAATATTGAGGGAGGGTGTAGGGAGGGGTTGGGGAAATGCCAGGGCCTATGAAACTGTGTCATAGAATGAAATTAAAAAAAAAACAAACAATCACTATGACTCATCCCATGAATACATAAATCCATAAATATTTTCCTTCCATAGCCCAAATTCTTTATAATTATATTGTATAAAGCTAAGATATAGACAGAAATAAAGGCCAGGCCTCATTTTTATTCATTATTGATTGTTCTCATAAGTTCATTTGTTTCATCTGTAGCATATACTTAAGAAAAATTATTTGTAAACTATTTAAAAGCAAGGACGTGGCACAATACCCAAGTGGCTAAAGTCCTTGCCTTGCATCCACTGGATTCCCACATCAGCAATTATTTCTTATCCCAGGAACTCTAATTCCCTTCCAGCTCACTGCTTTTGACCTGGGAAAGCAGTCAAGGATTCCCCCAAAGACATGGAACCCTGCACCTCAGTGGGAGACCTGGAAGATGTTCCTGGCTCTTGGCTTCACATTGGCTCAGCTCTGGCCATTGCTGCTATTTGGAGAATGAACCAGTGAATAGAAAAGCGATCTTTATCTCTGTGTTTCCTTCTCTCTGTAAATCTGACTTTCCAATAAAAACAAGTAAATCTTTAAAAAAATTAAAAATTGGGATCCCTCAGATCTCTACAATCTGCGACTTATGCATAAATGATACCTGATCACAGTGCTTCTGTACTATAACCTAGATCCATAATGTAAACTCTGGCTGTTTTCCTAATGATCTTCCATGATCCTTAAACCATTCTGCAGGCTCAGAGGTTCAGCCTCAGAAGAAATTTCTGCTGTGAATTCTACAAAAGAGATCCTATTTCATATAGAGCCCCAAGCAGGGCCTGTCTTCCTTAATTAGAGAAGACTCATTCCCATTGAAATCTTTGGGCACAAGGGAACAATCTGTGAAATAATCCACATGGGTCACTTACAATGGCATATCATAGTATCGAACATTTTTGTTGATGCCGTCGAGTTCTTTCATGTCCTCTGCAGTCAGTTCAAAATCAAACACCTGCAAGGGATGAAAGAATGACATTGAGACTGCACATAGAAGCTACCTTCTACCTGGAAATGTCAGAGTTTTCCAGGATAAGGTGATAAAGAAGGAATCAAGGAAAGCAATTTCATCACCATTGCCAATGAAAGAAATTCTGAGTACTTTCAAGTCTGAGCTCTGTTACCTGTATTTTCAGACATAAAATTCTTCAATTCCCAGTCTTACTAATAAGTAAAGGCAAATTATTTCACAAACAAATGTGCAGTTGGGCAAAGTACCTAACTACTGACTTTGTGAAAGATTTTTTTTTCTCTTTCTATTTTTACTATCTCCTTCAACTTTTCCCAAGCTTTCTCTAAAGCAAGTCTTGGAACATGGACTTAAACTTTCCCCAGTCTGTTTAACTCAAATAAAACACAGTCTTTTCAAAGATTGTACCTCATTGTTTTCTCATTTCAAACTTTCCAAACACTGTGTATTTATAGGATGTGTTTCTTCCCTACTAAACATTCTTGTATTGCCTTTGTAAACTTACATACCTGATATGTTTAAGAATCCTCCTATTGAACAAACTGAATCCTCCCTATTGACTTATTGAAGTCAAGTGTTACATTCTTGTTGGCATCATGTACCCATGAATACCAAAAGGTAGAGATATTGTGCAAAAATATGAGAATCAATAACTGCAACAGGAAAATAATATCACAGCACACTGGACTGTATCTATGCATCTGCATCTGTGTTTCTATATATCAGCCTGTCAACTATCTGTCTCATTTCTCTATTTATACATATGCATATATGTCTTATCCTCATATATGTTATCTATACATTAATAACAGATATTCAGCATTAATTCACGTACTCATCAGAACAATTTTAAAATACATTCATGAATTAAATGCTTTTTATAGGCACATAATTTAAGATATGGAGTTGAATAAAATAAAGCAAAATTATTATTTGAAAGTTTTCACATAGAAAGTAGGCTGAGGATTTTTCTTAAATTTATTCAATGAATCTATATTTACAAACTTTTAAAAATCCATTTAAATTCTATGCACCTACTGGTATTTTTAAAAAAATTAAACTCATAATAAAACTTTAATTTGTCATGTTACAATGGGAAAGACTTTACAAATTTCTTAATAGCCTCTAAACAAAAATAGATAATTTGTGTAAGATCTGGATATAAATAAGGAAGCATTTAGGAAATGGTGTTACATACTGAACTTGAGGTGTTTCTCCCTTCCTACATGCCAAGATCTCTAAGCCATGGAAAGGGTTATAAGATTGCTTGGCAGGGTATCATTTCGTCAGTCCTCAAAGACTAATTTAATTTAATAAAAAACTAATTCATAGAGCCAAGCCAAGTGGTAATATGATTAAAACACAAATGTAATGTAGCACTTCAGTTCTTTACTAAAGAACTAATTGCATTTGAACTTGAGCTTAACATTCAATAAGGAATGCATATAGAGAAGGTGAAAGATAAGAATCAGGAGTCTTAGGAATTTTTACTACATGAAAGGACTCACTCACAAAACACAAACAAATATTAAAACAGATAAAAATTAAATTAAGATTGATGCCACACAACCAGTACATTGCCAGTCTACATGTGAGGTATCAATACTTTGGACTGTGAATACAAAGCTACCTACTCTTCCAATTTTTCTCATATGACTCTGGAATGGATTTACAGGAATAATAGGAGGAGACATAAACTCTCAGGCAAGAGAAGTTATGCTAATTCAGTTCCCATGCATCCCTCTTTAGAGACGCTGCTTGATGTTTACCTGAAGATTCTCTTTGATTCTCTTCTCATTGAAGCTTTTGGCCAGGGCTACCACCCCTCGCTGCAGAAGGTAGCGCAGGGAAACCTGACCTGGTGTGCGATTGTGTTTCTTGGCAATGGCATTCAAGACGGGGTCTTCCAAGAGAGGTGGAATACTCACATTATTCCTAGAGTGTAAAAATACACAGATACAGAGGATGTAAGATGGAAAGCCTGAACTGAATTGACCTTTCAGTACAAATTCACCAGAAATTTGATAGAGATGCATCATATGATATGGATAAAATTAGTTTAGAGAATATTTATGAGATTCATTTGTAGTGACAGGCCCTGAAAACAACTAAAAAGGAACTCGGGGCATGTTGGAGTAACCTAGGGACTCAGGTCCTTGCCTTGCATGCACCAGGATCCCATATGGGCACTGCTTCTAATCTATTAAAAAATAATAATAAAACAACTCTTTAAAAGTATACCCAAAGGTTATGGGATAATGGTTACACTATTTAAGAAGATTTGAATATGTAGACTCTGAGACAAAAAAGAAAATATAACAACAGATACTTAGGACATACACAGGATAATGAGGAAATATTACATCAACTTCACACCAATTAATCAGAAGACCTAGAAGAACCAGAGTTTTGGACACATACCATTTACCAAATTGAGTCAGAAGACCATTAATATTCTAACTAGACCTATAATGGGAACAGGGATTGAACCTGTGACAAAATCTTTGCCAACAAAGAAAAGCTCTAGATAGATTTCTACAATGCTGAATTCTACCAAATATTTCAGGAAGAATTTAACCCCAATCCTCTGCAAGCTATTTAAAACAATGGAAAGGGAGGCAATCTTTTCAAACTCTTTCTAGAAAACCAACACCACCTTAATACCAATGCAAGGTATAGTCACAACAGAAGAAGAGAACTACACACTAATATCCTTGAAGAACATATATACAAAAATCAGTAACAGAGTACTAACTCTCAGAGTCACAAAAATGCATCTGGCTAAAAACCCTGAAAAAGGTAGGCATAAAAGGAGAATACTACAACAAAATTAAAGCAACATATAAAACAACAAAACAAACAAAGCAGTGCCAGCATCATATTAAATGGGGGAAAGACTGGAAGCTTTTCTACTAATATGTGAAACTAGACATGGATGCACTAAACACAGCTCTTCACCATAGTATTGGAAGTCACTGCCAGAGCTATTACACAAGAAGATGAAATTAAAGGGATTCAAATCAGATATGAGGAGTTAAAATTATCCCTGTTCAAAGACAGCATGACTCTATAAATGGGAGAATCAAAGGACTCAAACAAGAGAGTATTGGAACTCATAAGGGACTGATAGGATAGTAGGATCAAAAATTATTGAAGAAAAATTGATGGACTTAGTATACACAAATGACTCCATGGCTGTAAAGGAAATGTAGACAATGGAGAACAATTTTCAATGCTTTGGAATTATCCTAACAAAGAGGTGAAAGTCCACCATGAAAGATATTACGAAACATTAAAAAATGAAGAAATTAAAATTTGGAGAAATATACCATGTTCCTTTATTGACAGAATCAACATTATCAAAATATCTATGTTACCAGATTTATACACAAATTAAGATCAATCTCAATTGAAATCCCAAAAACAATTCTTCTGGGAAATGGAAAAGAAGATGCAAAGTTTATCTGGAACAGAAACAGAGAACAGAAACAGCCAAAGCTTTCATGAAGAATAAATATAAAGCTGGAAACTGACAATCCAAGACCTCAGGACACAATGCAGGGCAATAGTATTCAAGACCATCTAGTACTGATACAGAAACAGTAAAAAAGACGAATGGAACAAAGCAGAAACACCAGACGTGAGCTCACAAATGTACAATCAACTAAACTTCCACAAAAAAAAAAAAACTGAAAATGATCCTGATCCAGGAGAAAAGGTCGGTCTTTTCAACAAATGTTGTTGGGGCAATTGAATAACAGTCTGCACAAGTAAGAAACAAGACCTCCACCACTTCCACACAAACACACAGATTTCACCTTCTACAAAAATCAGCTCTAAATGAATCAAGAACCTAAGTCTACATCCACAACCGTCAAACAAGTAGAGGAAAATGTAGGAAATACTCTGTAATATGTAGCCACTGGTAAAGACCTCTTTGAGAAGCCACCAAAAGCACAGGCAGCTAGAACAAAAAGAAACAAATGGGCCCAGACACAACTAAGAAGCTTTTGTAAAACAAATGAAATGATCAAGAAACCGAGGAAGCAACCAACAGTGTGAAAGGAAATTTTTGCACACCACACAAACAATAAGGATAATATTCAGATTTAAGAAAGTCAGCAACAATGAAACAAAAGATCTGTGGGAAAAAATGCGCAGAGAAAATGAGCAGGCATTTTTCAAAAGAACAAATTCAAAGGGCTAATAGACACATGAGAAAAGATTCAGCTCCTTACTTATCACAAATAACCACACTGAGATTTCACCTGAATTGCAATGAGATTGGCCTGCATTGCTTAATCTACTGACAGCACCTGCTGGCATGGATGTGAGGAGAAAGGTGGCCTCCTTCACTGTTGATCGGTGTGTAGACTGGTCCACCACTATGGAAGTCAGCACGCAGAGTTTAAGAAAACTGAAAATTGATCTGCCATACAACCAGCTATCAAATGCTCAGGAATATTTCCAAAGAAAATGAATTTTGTCTATGGGAAAGTAACCTGTAATCCCATATTTACAACAGCACAATCTATAATAGCAAAGACATGAAACAACTCTGATGCCTGTTGAAAGAGGAATGGGTAAATGAATGGTGGTAATCCAATCCACGGACTATTACTCAGCCAAATGAAAGAATGAGATTCTACTATTTGCAAGCAAATGATTCCAACAAGAGACCATTAGACTCACTGAAATAAGAAAATTCTGAAAGGAATAGTATCATATGTTTTGATATAAGGTAATTTTCATGCAAAATACATGATCGCTAGATAGGCAAATATAATTATACACGAACTGCATAATGCAGACATGCAGACAGACTAGCATATTGAGATATGAAGCTACATTGTAATATGCTGCTCAATTCAGGGATAAACGATGGACTCCCAACGATATTGTTAAACACATATTGATGACAGGCAGCTGGACTTTCTACCATTGTCTATACCACAAATCAGGATACACTGAAGTAGCAGACTGATGGACTTAATGACTGTTGCTGAAGGATGCTGCAGGAAGAATGTTGGGGAGAGGGCAACTGGGGAAAATAGAAGAAGAATTCTCTGATTTACAGCAGGCCCTAGTCAGGAGCTTGGAAAGCCATCATAGTGTCCCACATGCATGGCAGAAACCAAAGCATTTGGGCCATTTTCATCAGCTTTCCTAGATACATGAACATGGATCGATCAGGAGGAATGGAAGTAGAACTTGACAAGCATCAGATATTGGATGTAGGCATCTCACACAGTTGCTTAATTCACTGTGTTACACCAGGAACTGAGGTTAATTTGAGTGTGAATCAGCATGTTGAAGATCCTGTTCCTTAGTTTCTCTCCCTCTCTTTCTTTGAACATTTCCATTTATTGCAAACACAAACACATACACGAAGACACACACAAACACACACAAATATAGACTGAGTTTGGGAATAGGTGGACATATATGTGAAGCCAGAGTAAGAGCATGTTGGTGACATTGAATCTCAGTGTTGGTACATGGAAAAGCACCACATTATATCGTGGCTACATTTTTATGTCCTAGATTTTTTGGTGATAAAGTGCAAAAACTTATTTGAAGTATTTCATTACCATATAATTGCTGATATAGATTAACTCTTTTCAATTATTATTACCACATTGGATCTCTTGGTGATCCCAAGACACCATAAGCAACAAGAATAATGTCCTTGGACTTGCAGTATTCCAGAAGTTTACTCTGGTTGAAGTAAGGATGGCATTCCACCTGTAATGTGTCAAGAGCAGAACACTTTAGAATACATGAGACAATTACCACATCCACATCTTTAAAAATACTTGAGACACGTGCAGCCTCTAGCCCAATGTCTCAGTTTAAGTGCCATTTCTAGTTCAACACTACATTCATGGATGCATTACACTATTTAAGTCATTTTTCCTATGCATTCCTCCTGAAATACTCCAAATTTCACCAAATGTAACATGTACTTTGATTACTAATATTTTAAAAATCTTTTAAAGCTCTGATTCTCAAAATGAGGTCATTAAATACGATTTTTTATAGAAAAGCCTGCTCTCAAGAGAGCAAAACAAATGCGTCATGTCAAAGAGACTAGAAGCTCACTGAGGAAGTTTCTGCTAATTAAAATGTGGAAATTTAAGCATCAATATGGATAATGTAGGACAGCACTCTGGTGCTGCTAGTTAACCCATAAAGGAGTTGGTATGAATGCTTGCTGCTCCATTTACAAGCCAGCCCCATGATGATGTAGCTGGGAACACAATGAAAACCAGACTAAGTATGTTGGAGATTTGGATGGAGTTTCAGATTCGTTTCTTCAGTCTGGCAAAGTTTAGCTGTTTAGAAATTTGAAGAGTGAATTCTCAAGTTGTCCTCTATTTGTGTAGATCTTGATCACTATTACACTTATTCTATCATTGTAACTCTGATACAATCTTATTTTAATAGTCATGGTATTTAACAACATCCAAAAAATCACTATTAAAATTTTTGATTCAAGAAAAATTCAGAGATATTTATACAACAACTCTTTTAAATGATCCATGGGTATGAATTTACACTTAAGGGTACTTTCAAACAAGTCCATGAAAAAGAAGTTCATTTTGATAGCAAAAAAATTGATATCTCTTATAATTAAATGGTGGGTTTTCAAGATTTTTTGAAAATGTCTCATCCAAATGAATCTCAAAATCACTTTATTTGAAAATAAATTTAACTTTTGCATTTTGTTTCTCATGATTCTTGGGCAGTACTCTCATCTATAATCTGTGCAGACATAGATAGTAATTTCTTAAGTGTTTGGGTGAACTCATTAAGAAATCAATATGTTTATTTTTGCCTCTTAGCAGTTCAAAAGTTTCCAATAATACAATTCTTTTAAAAACAAGAAATAGAATATTTAAATATTGAATTATAGGAAAGGCATCACCATAAAAATAAAGCAACTGTTAAATCATTTTGATATGCCTCGTGTTAATCTTTTTATATCTAAGATCTCAAAAACCGTATAGGGATGTCTTATTTAGATATATAAAATGCATCTGAAGTACTTTCGTTCACATAGTTTATTCATCTTCTTATATCTAAGATCTCAAAAACCATATACGGATGTCTTATTTAGATATATAAAATGCATCTAAAGTACTTTCATTCACATAGTTTATTCTAATAAAACCCATCTTTTCTCCTACTTTATCTCCTTTCCTCTATTTTCAACATCTATATCAGCAATCAGCAGACTCCTGCTTTGCTGAAATAATCTTTCCCTTTTACTAGGTGGTTTACAAAGGATACTTCTGCTGTCAATTCAAGAACACATGAGAAAAAGTGTTAGACAATTTGAAAATTCCTCCATGTTTAGCAGCATCCCAGAAAACTCTCTCCCATTCCACACAATGAGTCTTGCAGCCCATTGCCTGTATGAAACCATCTTGTAACTGCATAGGATGACACATGAAGGAAATATACTGGTGTTATAGCAGTGTCTTAAAACTTCCAGAAAACCAAAACCCGAAGTAATCTGAAAGTGAATCAACTGCTTGAGATATCAGACCCCTTCAATCGACTTCTCCTTACAGCTTTAACACATCCTGTGACAGTGCCGTAGAATTGTGAGTTGTGAATTGAAAAAAAATAGTAAAACGTTTTCCTTATTTCAACCAGACTCCAAAATATCTCAACATACTTCTCAAGTAACCCATCATAAATTTAAATATATCCCTCATGTTAGATATTTAGAAATCTAATTTTTCTTGATGTATAAACAATAAATGATAAATTTTGCCCTACTCTGATTTTACAATAATATTTCTGGTAGTAAATAGCTTTTTACACTAGGTTTTTACATAATTATCAAGTTCGTTAAAAGCATCTATACTTTCTTAATAGGATACATAGTGTGTGATAATTATTGTATTAGGTGTATATACATATATACATATATTCATATATACATATATACACATATATATATTAACCATTATTTATGCTTTTTCTCATTTTCCACTCCTTTGGCATTATTTGCTCTCATTTTTCTGAGACTGCTTTGTTAGATTTCCAACCAACTCCATACCACTGAACCCAATAATTTTCTCCTTGTCAAGATGGAAACTTGAGGACTGTCTACCACACTCTCTTCATTTTTCATTTTCCTATATCTGGAAATATATTTCTCTTTGGTCCTTCATAGTGAGCTTGGCTGACTTAATTTTCATTCAATCTTAATTTTCCCGAGGAGAATCACTATGTTTCTGTAAGTTTATATTTATCACAGAAAAGCAAGGACTCCAAAAGTCTTTTGCTCCATTCCAGATCATTTTCCTGTTCCAGCACTGACAACTGTCAACTCAATAACTGGAATGTCTCACCTGAAATTGAGCTTGAGTAATGAAGTCATGCTTCTCTCATTCCATCCGAACTGCCCCTTCTATGTTGTTATTATAATGAAATAAATGATTGACCACATGCACAAACATCAAGCCATAGACCTGAGAAATGTGAGTTACATAGAATAGGAAGAGAGAACCCTCTAGTCTAGAGACTTACCTGGTTGCAGGTGGGCTTATACTTGAGTCCTGGCTTGTTCAGTATCATTTCCAGCTGTTTGCGATTGAAGTTGGACACCCCAATGGATTTGGTTAAACCTGCATCTTTGCACTTCTCCACAGCCTGGGGAGGTGGGAAATGTGTGGTTAAATCTTTTTTGTATTACAGTTTTTCATTTGTTCTTAGAATTTCGGGAATCCAAAAGTCATTTTTTTGCCACGCATAATGATTTTGATGAACAAATATTTTTACACTGGAACATGCCAATTGTTAAATGCATTTATTGCTTTGCAAATACATTTGTCTTCTGAATTCTCTTTCATGCCCCTGGAGGAAAATGAATCTTACATTGTTGTAAAGTATCACTTTAACTCCCTTGACTCATTCAGCCATATGAATTTTGCAGTTAAAATTACAATCACTTTTAATAAATATTCCAAAATTCAATGGCCAAAGTTTTGGTTTTTGCTGCTAGAGATTATGCTATGTTTTCTGCGAACAGAGATCATGTTGATACCTCATTTGGGCTAAGTGGGGGCAAGTTCCATTCTATACATAGCACAACCTTCTGGAATGTCAAACTGATGATTTCCTCTTCCCCACCCATACAGATCTGCTTGTCCTTTCTTCAAATAACTCTACCTCTTCTTGAGATTGCTTCTGCTAGTACCTGAGGGAGGGTTTACAATTGAAATAATTTTGTGGATAAAGAAATACCGTTTTACAGCCTTATTGTTAAAACATCACCTATGAAATCAACATCACACATCTAAGCCCCACTTTGTAATTGGAGTGCTCTCTTTCAGATCCAGCTCCATGATCAAGATCCTGCAAAAAACACCAGAGAATGATGCAGGTCTTGGACCTCTATAACACACAGGAGACATCTAAATCAACTTTAAAGGTCCTGAGATGCTTGAATGAACATCAACTACTTTGGCCTTTTCGGGTGATGAACCAGCAGATAGATTGATTTCTCTCAATTTCTCTCATTCTTTCAAATAAATAGAACAGAACTTCAGACAGATTAAAATATTTGAAGTCTTCAGATGCAATCTTGTCTGTCTCCTCAATATCACAAACAGAAATAAAGGAATTACACAGGGGTATCATTTCATGTCCGAGATCTGACATCTCTAGCGCAAAACCCATTTCTTCTGACTCCCCATTCCACTGGTCCTACCTTCCTATGTAGGGCTCTCATTGTCTGTATCATTAATTACCTCCCATGTGTCACGAAGGTCCACAGTATCTGCAATAACTTGCCCTTTGTCATCCATCGGTAGAATTGCATCCCCAGGCTGAAAACAGAATGAAGATTAAATAAAGATGTATTCTTTCAGAATGACCTTAATGATGCCTACATAGCATGGTCACACAGCTTTCTGGATGTTGTGATTAACTGAAGTATGTATGAGTGCTCTTGTGCATGCATGTTTCTGAAAGGAAGTCAAAGAGAAGATACAAAACTTAATTGTCTGACAGAATACAGACTACACATTACAACTGTCTGCCAAGATCCCAGAAACCCTAAAGTTCAGATAATAGAGATTTCCTCCAGTTGTGGTATATTCATCTCCCAAGCACAATGTCATTTGGAGGAAACTAGTAATTAGAACCTCAAATCAAGGAGTTTTAATTCTAATTTATAATTGTACAGCACTGACAGACTGAGTCTTTCAAATGTACTCAGCCCAGACCACTGTGAGGCGATGTCAAATGGACAAAGTCCCACAGAGCCTGGCAGTGCAATGCAAACCATCCAGGTGACCTTCAACAACACTGAGATAAGGAGTGCAAATGGGAGAGGTCCATATGCTCAGAGCTGGAAATTCTCATTGTATCTTTCAATCTGTAGGTACTTAACACCCTTGAGGACTTTAGTGTTAATCGGTCAACACCAGCAATAAAATAACAGGTCACAGGGTATTGCATTCAGCTCTTTGAGGTAGATGTAGTAATGTCATTAAGTGATATTTCTAAAAAATGGGCAATAGAACTGAAAAAGCGTTAGTGCTGGTAAAACTCAAGTAGTTAGGAAAGTCACATGATTGCAAAACCTTACTTACATCTTTCTCCACAGAAACACAGACAATCTAAGGATGTAGCTGATGTGACATATGCATTTGGTAGGTACATTGGTGAAGACATGCAGGGTACAACAAACAAAATCAAATACTTACCTTCATAGGTGTTGGAAGATGTACCAGGAAAAGATCAACATAATCCATCTGAAGTTGTTTCAGTTGTCTTTCCAGGGTTGGACGAACCAATTCTGGGCGAAAGCATGTAGCCCAAAGCTGCAGCAACAGGAACGAGTTATAATTACTGGATAATGTATTTTCACTTTTGGGGGCTAACATCAGACATCATAGTTAAGTAGTACGGGATGAATATCAGTGTACTATGAAGGATCTAATACTAAGAAGAAGAAACTAAACTCATAATTTTATTATATTTCAGGGCGTTAATAAATATCAAATTTATTTCGGCATATTGGCAATGATAAATATAACAGACTCAAAAGAGAAACAATTGTTACAAAAATTAAAAATAAGTAACCACTAAAAAGTACAGGAAAAGAAAGGCAAAAGAAAATACAATCCACTATTCTGTACAATTTGTCCTCAAGTACAACCGTGAGGGGTAATTCATATTCTAAAAACAAATCCAAGCAATATATACATACGTAGTTTCAAGCTTCAGAGAACTGAGCTGATTTACAATTTAATGTGACTTTCTACCTAAGGAAATATCACAATTTTTTTTAAATTCAGTGTTGAGTAGGCAGGAAAAATCTTACACTGTCTCTGTTTTTTGGATAGTTTCTAAAATGCAGTTATACCAGTGGAATTAGTTTTTAAAAAAAATAAAGGAACAGATATATAATGGCTCAGGAAATTCACCTAACAAATAGGAATAAGAAGAGTTTGAAAAACTGCATCTTACCGCTGTCACATTTCATAGCAAAGAAGTTATTATCTGTTATCTTTCCAGATGTGTTTATTTCACTTCAAATGGAGAAGAGACAGAGAGAGAGAGAAAGTGAGAGGAAGAGAGCAATAGAGACTGAGGGAGATGTATTGCAAGGGGGCAGATGAAGGAAAGAGACAAGAGATTTCATGTTTCTGTACACTACTTAAGTTTCCAGGGTTAGTCCAATCAAATTCAGGAGCAAAGACAAATAAGAGAGTCATTGCTTGGTCCCTCTCAAGTGTAACAAAAGGAAGGAGCATGAGAATCAGGCAGTGGGAACTTGAGTCCCAGGTGGAAAACAAAGATAGCTAAACCCAATATGTCACACCTGCCAAAAGCAAATCCTTTCTGTTTTCTCTTTCTATGATGTGCCTCTAGTATTGTAGGAAGTAAGGCATTCAAGTGGTGAAACCAATTCTTTTCATAGTATCATAGCTGAACTGACAGTGTCCTGTAGAGCCTGTACCTTGGTAGTGTAGAATATGTCCTCTCTCTTCACAGTCCCATCAGCAATCTTCTCACGAATAGCTGCACCAACCTCCTTCTCATTTTCATATGCGAATGCTGCATCTATGTGACGGAAGCCAGCCTCAATGGCTACTTTGGTGAATTCAAAAGCCTTGCTTTTTGGAGCCTGTGAAACAGGAATAAGAGAGTTGGTGATGAGTCCAACTCAAAGAGAAGCAGTGTACTTCCTCAGGCACATGTTCACCCATTGTTGATGCTGACATCACTCACATACACTTACAGTTTGACTTGTTAATAAGACTGCTCTCTAGAGACATCAGCTGAGTTCAAGTATTCCCTCTTGTCTGGAAGAACATAGGGAAATGTACATCCCATAGAACTCAGAAAGAAGTCTTATGCATTGAAAATCATTGATATGAAAATGGCCAAGAGGAGAGCATCCAATACTAGAATATAAATTCTCAGGCAATCAGAAGGAAAGAAACATTGCTAACACACACACACACACACACACACACACACACACACACACACACACTGACACACACACACACACACACACTCACTCACTACATCATCTGTGTATCAGGTTTGACCCATAGTTGAAAATGAATCCCAGATGCATATTCTTCCCAGACTCCTGACAACTGAGATCTTCAAGTTGTCCTTCAATTTCTTTGCTATTCATTCATCAAATTCTCTTATGCAATATTTAATCTACATGCACTTACTGAATGCTTCCTTTGTGATTAACAATATCTAGACCTTGAGTTACTGCTCATTAGGCATGAATAAAAATATCTTCCTCCTTTTTATCAGGAGAAATCTGGGAAAAAGAGCAAGTCAGTCATTAAAGTGTATTGCAAAACTTGCAAAAATATTATTTACAGGACCTATTGGAAAATTTAAAGGTTTGCTGGAGGCAGATGAGAAAACAAACAGTTCACATGCTATCTACATAACAAGATATGAAAACAGAACGAAGGACAAAAGGCTGAAAATGGAAAGGCATTAGGAAATGATTCGATTTCTACACATAGGCCAGAATACAGCAGCCTGCTAAGAGACCATTGAGCAAAAATGGACTTTCAAAAAACTGAAAGATATACCTCAGCACTAGGACGTCCTGAATGGATTGAAAAATTCTTCAAATTTTACTGAAGAAGCCACAGTATTAACAAAAATAATCTAACTCTCTCATTTATTTTTAAAAATGGCTCCTAACACATTCACTTCTTCTTCACAGCCTTCATCTAGAGTCAAGCTGATGAGTACCATTTCTCTGTACCGTGAGAACAACAATCCTAATTTTCTCCAACTACTGCTCTGGTGTGAAGGATTCCCCTTCTGGTTTTTGTTTGTTTGTATGTTTGATTTTTGGCTTCCTCTATGCTAAACCTTCAGGAAAACCTCTGGATACTTATTCCCATGTGAGTGGAACTTCCTGAACTATCATTTGAAAATTTAATTTTAATTTTTTCAGATATTTATTTTTATTGGAAAATCAGATATACAGAGAGAAGGAGACACAGAGAGGAAGATATTCCATTCATGATTCATTCCCCAAGCAGCTGCAATGGCCAGAGCTGAGCCAGTCTGAAACCATGAACCCAGAGCCTCCTCCAAGTCTCCCACATGGGTGCAGGGTCCCAAGGCCTTGGGCCATCCTTGCTTGCTTTCCCAGGCCGCAAGAAGGGAGCTGGATAGCAGGAGGATCCCTCAGCATTAGATCCTGGTGTTTGCAAGGCAAGGACTTTAGCAATTAGGCCACTTTGCTGTGCCCTTAATGTAAATTTTTTAAAGGAGTCTTTAAATTATTACTCCTGTCCCTACCTGAAAGCATTTGGACTTCTAACTTGAAGTGTACACATGAATAGGAAAATATCTGTGCTTTAGCTTCAGAATATAGCTTCTATTTGAGTTGAATAATATCATAACTCATAACAATGTCTTGCCTGACTTCAAACCTTACCTAAGCTCAAGCTAATACTCTTGAGTGATTTGGTAAAACACAAGGCTGTATTGCTTGCTCAGCTTCTGAACTTCTCAACTTCCACTGGCATCCACTGATATAGTATTGAACATGGAGCTTGCATTATGGTCCAGAGTAGTAAGTACTCAAATGAGTAGTAAGTACCCAACGAGATACCCTCATCTCATATGAGAAAGCCTTCATCCAATCTCCATTTCAGACCCAGCTTCGCATTAATACAACTGGCATATAGCAGATGCTTCCTGCCACCAAGTGAGGTCTGGATATAGTTCCAGGCTCCTGATTATGCCCTGGTATACGCCCATGGTTGTCAGCCTTTGGGGAGTGAGAAGTGAATATAATATTTCTCTGGGAATACAATTTATTTCTTCTGAGTCTCCATGTATTTCTGTGGATAAAGTTGAATTGATTAATTTGTCAGTTACTAAGTACACATATCCCAAGACATCGTTTCATTGCCACATTCTAATGTAAAAAAAAGTTTGTTATCCCTATCTGATAACTGTCAAAACCAGGCCCTGGCAGATGTTAGATATTACAGGGCCAGACTATCACAATTTCCCAGCTTGCCTTTTTTAGATAAAAGCGTCAATGACCTGCCTTTTGGAGCGACAAATCAATCATTTATTAAAAGTGTCTCAATGAATTGAGGGAGTGGTGCAGCCTACTTTGAAAGTTCATAATCATTAGAATTTTGAGGTCATTTATTTTTATTAGAGAGAATATCTATTGGTTAGACTGGGGCTCAAATTGTCCTTCTGCCCTTGGAACAAAAAGTAACTGCTAAACCCATGTAGACCTTAGTTTGACTGGAGCTCACGTTTCCATCTTTAAAATTAATAACCAGATACATTGCTGAAAAAAAACAAAGTACAGGGCCCAGCGCGGTGGCGCAGTGGTTAAGGTCCTCGCCTTGCACGCCCGGGATCCCATATGGGCGCTGGTTCTATCCCAGCAGCCCCGCTTCCCTTCCAGCTCCCTGCCTGTGGCCCAGGAAAGCAGTCGAGGACGGCCCAAAGCTTTGGGACCCTGCACCCACATGGGAGACCCGGAAGAGGCTCCTGGCTTCGGACCGGCATAGCATCGGCCGTTGCGCTCACTTGGGGAGTGAATCATCGGAGGGAAGATCTTCCTCTCTGTCTCTCCTCTCTGTATATCCGCCTTTCCAATAAAAAAATAATAAAAATAAATCTTTAAAAAAAAAAAACCAAAGTACAAACACAAGACCAGTGTGAGGCAAGACACAAGCCAAAACTTTCTCATTTATATTTACGCGAACCACTCAGAGATTTCAGCAATAAAGGAGTGTTGTCCTTCTCATTGTACTCTGTGCAATAAACAATCACATCCTTTGTCACGCCAACACACTGTCCGTGATTAGATTTCTAAACACTAGGAAACCCAACCCAGATTGGGTGTCCTTCAGCAATTACTTTCTTCAGTTTTTGGGTTAATCTCTAGCACTGTATCAAAGAATAATTAATTCTAGATTTCATTGCAACCTCTAAAAGACTGAAATCTGCATGCTGCTTTCCTATACAGAGTCTATGAATCTGTCTTTTGATCAACTTCAGAACTTCTGAGAAGGACAGAGAGGGAAAAATGCTGCCGCGGGATGTGAGTTCCCCACCTCACTACACCAACCTGCAATGTACCCAGGACAAAGCTCACAAAAACATTTACAAGGGTTGCTTGTAAGATCAGCCTATTATAAGTTAATGATCAAATCTGAAATTCTGTCCTTGCAATCTTTCCAGAGAGCAGAGATAGGAGAGACAAACAATTTCACAACACACACAAGGGAACATTTTAATTTTTTTTCCTGTATTGACTCAAAGTCACAGAATAGTCAATAGAAGTCAGATTTTGAAAACATTTGGAGAATGTGACTTCAATAGTGATAAAAGGCATTATTTGTAGAGTAAGTGCATGACTTATCTTCTTCAGAGTGGGAAATATGAGCAATTTTTTGTCCTATTCCAATGGCTCCATTCACTATAGCAGTGATAAACATTGGATGCAACATTTAAGACACATGCTGTGCTAGAACTATTACAATATCTGGAATATCTGTCTCTCTTTCTCTGACACCTGCTATTTGTTAGAATTTCATGTCATACTTCCTCAAGTTGGAACATAGAAGGTTCTGCTATTATGAAGTAACCTTTCCTTAGAAACTTCAATATTGTCCTGCCTCACTCCTACCAAGTATTAACTCTTTACATTCACTGTAATACTTTCTTTGGATGAGTAATTAGAACACTTAGTGAGAAATAACCTTTTGAAGCACTTTTAAGATTATGCATCTGAATGCTTCTTTCCCAAAGTTCAAACAGTGTTCCATGTTGGAAGATTGGAGGATTGAGTTTCACAAACATGTTCAGTCCCAACACACTCAGAAAGACTCCTCTGCTTCAAAGTAGACCTGTTACCTGCCATTTCCTCCAGTGCTCTGTGACCGTCAGGGATTTCCAACAGATCAGAGTGACTCTGACTGAAGGAACAGAATATCCCCAAAAGGGCAGCTTGAGCTTTCAATTAAAAATATAACAACCAGCAACAATGAATCCTCTCCTGTGAGAGTTATTGAGGAATTAACTGAGATTATGCATGCATAAGACCTAAAGATCTTAGTAAGTATTTCATACATGTTAATAATAATAATAATAATGGTAATAAACCTAAACAAATAGTTTTCCACCTCGGAATACTCAGAGTCAACCTTTGTCACATCAGTGCATAAAAAAAAAAAAAATGTCTCTGACTGACCTGGATAGAAACATGCAGAGACAGACAGAAATCAAAACAATCCCCTCCAATTACCCACACTGCAGCATGTAAGGTTTGTATCTGCTGACAACCATTGCAAAGCAGTTAACACTCAATCTCTCAGTACCCTGGAGCTTACTTATATCTCTAGGAATTATCGTGCCAAATCCAAGCATGGGCATCTGGGTGCCCATCACTCAGCTTCACAGAATGGCTATTTTTAAGATTCATCCTTCTCCAAGCTGAAATTATCTGGCTTTTTCTCCTTTCTTTTCCAATGAGTCAAGTGGAGCACTGGCCTCCAGCGTGTTGTTATGTATGGCAATCAACCAATATGGGTGGAGTGCAGCCTTCTGCACTTGGTCTAAAGTTTCACACAAGATATGACTGCTAATTAGTCTCCT